CCCAACTAACTCTACTCAAAACAGTTCTCTTAATGATCACCAATGAGTTTCCTAAATATCATACCTAAACATTCTCTTTTATTCCCCAATTCTTAATGTTATTTCAGTTTTCTTAGCAACTGCTAGCCTCTACCTTCCTTCACAAAGTTGTTTTCAAGTATCAATGTAATCTAGAGTCTGTTTTTATAATTTTTCTTTCTGTCTCCCACTGTTTCATCTTCATTTTCCTACTGTGGAAGGAAGCATTTCATCTTTAAATATCTTCTCTTTCCTTACTCTGTCCTTCAATGATATAAGATCATCTGAAGATTTGACTTAACAGATAACCTAGAGATAACTTTAAATATTTATCTTGTAATTCTATTCCAAGATTCTGTAATGTATTAACAATAGTTAAAAGGCACAATATCAAATTACTCATTTTTTCATTCATTAATCCACTCAATAAATACCCACTTAAAAAAAAGAGCCCACTGGCTAAAACTAGGCTAACCAAAGATAAAGGAATGAAATAAAAGGAACAAGGCACATATCCAAACATAGAATTTCACAGGCCACTGTGAGAAGTTTGGATTTTGTTTTAAAAGAGACCAGAGTCCATAGAGGTTACTTGGCCAAGGTCACCCAGAGCCAGCAAGTTACACAAATGTAATTTGAACACAGACATGCCTGCCCCCAGAACACAGACTCTTAATAATGCCTTTCAACTGCTTTCTAAAAATGAAGCAAAGCCCATTTCATGTGAGAACTATAACCACAGCTGTAAAGTTAATAATACTACCTTCTAATGCAGGGGTCAACAAACTATGGCCATGAAGCCAAATCCAGCCTGCCACCTCCTTTGTAAATAGTTTTAATGGAAGCCAACCTTATTCATTTGTGCATATATTGTCTTTAGCTGCTTTTATACTATACTGCAGCTAAGTCACTGTGACAGAGACAGGCCACAAAGCTTGAAATACTATCCAGCCCCTGATAGAAAGAATTTACCAATTCTTGTTCTATCCAAATGCTTTCAGATTCATCATCTAGAAATAAGGGAGAATAATAACTAACCTATTTGCAGTGAAATTAAGGAAGCTAGTGCATCTGGAAAATGATGATGACAGCAGCGACCCCAAATGTGGGGTACAGTCTCATTCAGACTCTTTTACTACAACATTTGTTAAGGGGAAAAAAAAAACAAAAAAAAACAACCCTGGTTTACTTCAGCAGCATGTCACTTCTTTCTCAAAGGCATTTTTGCCCCCTCCCCAACACCTTAACTCCTATTTCTACCGAGAAGAGGCAAATGTCTCTTATTATAATCATCCTCAAAGCCTTTTCCATGGCTTACACATTCTTGTTATGAGCGCTGCCATTCTCCCTTAATCGTGAATGTCAAATCCACTGCCCACTTGCACAGGCTTATTTATTCAGCTTAAATGATAGCTTACAAGCCAGGCTCCTCTTCTGCATTTCCACTCCAAAGTTCTATTTCCATTCCCCATTACCTCTCACTATATACGTCTTTCCAGTAGCCTCACAATTAATTTCCCATATCAACCTCTGTACGTGCCCCACAGATGTTAGACATCACAAAATAGTTCTCAAACAAACAAATATCTCCTTTCAAAACTATCCAACAATGCATCATTACCATTCAACTAAATCCTCAATTTTCAGTCAAGTTCTTCCATAATATGATTCTAATGTCTACGACTGCACTAACTGCACACTAAATTTCTCAGGTACTTACCATGTTCCCCTGTTATATCATGTTGTATGTAACTGTACATGTAGTTACACTACAAAGTAATGTTGTTATACTACATTAAGCAATAAAAGTTTTTAAAAAGAAACACTCAATTTCTGCCCTCAGGAAGCTGGAAATCTAGTAGGGTAAATAAAAATTTGTTTAATTCTCCATGCAATAAGAAAAGTGTCTTAGGAAAGATATGAATAGGAGTATGTGAGCACAAAGACAATGTAAAAGCTAATTCTGCCACAGTGAGCACAAATATTAAGGGTTGAAGATATCCCAAAGAGGAAAGAGATTAATGAAATAAAGGTAGGGAGGGACATGATGTTGTAGAAAGGATTCCTGCTCTTTTAACCTTTTTCCCCCTCCAGAGCACTGATTTTAAAATGAGAGGCGATTTTGTCTCCCAGGGGAAATGTGGTGCTGTCCAAAGACATGTGATTGTCACAACTAGGGAGAAGGAGGTGTCACTGGCGTACAGAAGTAGTAAGAAAATCTGCGCAATGTCCTAAAATACAGAACAGAGTACTTTAAAAAAAATTATCCATTCCAAAATGTCAGTCACGGTACAATTAAGCGTCCATGGTCTGAAGCCAAAAGGAACTGGAGTAAAGGAGAGGATAAAGCTGAAATAACCACAGAATGTGTTCGAACACTGACAACACAGAGCTGGCGAGGAAAGGGAATGAGTCACGTGTGGATGAGACCGCGCACCAAAACCAAAGAGGAGAATGCGAAACGGAATACAGGGCAAAGGTTATGAATGAACGTTCCCCACCTACAGGTTTATGAACAGAAAAATAATAATACATCAAGGTTTATGAATAGGGAAAGAGACTGTAAAGGAGGGCCTCAAGAAAATCAATTATGAGGGAAAGGAGAAGACATGGGCAAGAAGCGGAAGGAAACACTATCAGCATTTTCTTACACTTCACCCAACCCAACAAATATTTATTGCACAGCCTCTACTAGATATCATGTAGAAAATACAGAGATAAATAAGTCATAATCCTTGCTGTCCAAAAAAGTGGATTACAGTAGAGAGAATTACATAAGAATATGTTATAATATCAGGGAAAATAAGAGAAAAAAAAGTTCAAACACAACCTTGCAAAAATGCCATGTAGGGATAAAGAATGGTTTCACTTCTTAATAACCTCTTAGTCCTCTAAGTAAGAGTGAAAAAAACAGCACAGTAAATTCTACATCTTTGGTCATAAAGTTTTGTATACTCATTCTAATTAATATAATCAAGAATAATATTTTGTTTTCTTGAGTATAAAAAAAATTCTTGTTTTCTTGATTATACTAGACCTGAGTGCTAACGTTATTATAATAAGACAAGAACAGGACACTTTGGATGGGGTATCCTGAGACTTTATTTCCACTGAAAGACCCATGTGAAAATAATATAGAAGATCCCAACAGTAAGTCTTATACCACTAGCAGGGCTTAGTGATGATTTTTTTGTTTTGTTTTGTTTTTTAACTTTGCGTGGATTTATTTCTCCTGAGGTTACAAAGCCATCCAGAGGATAGCTCTTTAAATATTCCCTTCAGAGGGAGCCTCAAACTCAACGTGAAAAAATAGTTAGAGAAATCCCTAATGGTCCAGCCAACATACATTTTTCATAAAGTGATTATCCTCCTGCAGCCTCAGCTTCCTAAGCCTTCCCCCTCTTTCTATAATTGTTTTCCTTGTAGGCCAGGCAACAATTACCACAGCTACAAGACTGAAGAGGTTCACGAGCAATATATTTTACAGTGCATAAATGTAGTGTCTCTGATATCTGGTGCTTTTATCACTAATTGCACTATAAAATGTGCTATTAAAACAGGGACAAACAAGATTGTAAAAATCACATAATGGACCATGACCACTTACAAAACCCATTCATAAATGTTACTGTACTTCTTATTTTTCTTTTTGCTAACTCTGTATTTCTGGAGGTTACCATTAAGACAAAATAGTTGGGAATTACAAAACATGCATGCTCTTGAATACACTGTTTATACATTTGCTCAAAATTAAAATCATACAGCATATCGGACAATGTGCTATGAACTCTGAATTCCTAGACACAGCTATGAGATTCCCCAAAATAAATTATGGCATGATAAATGTGTTTAAACTGTGATTTCTCCTCAAATTTTAAAACACAGGACTAAAAACATGGAGGAAGAACACCAGGATTTCACAGTTCCAATTTATAAAATATACAACAGAACCAACAAAACATCTGTATCTTGGGGGAAAAAAACGTGATCAAAGAATGATATTACTGCCAATACTGGAGGATGTGCGACAGTGGAACAGCCTACAGTATTAGTGTCTCATGAGTCATCGGTACTAATTCATGCTAATTGCCAAGTTTGGAGATGAGCCTTTCAAATCCTTCACCATTTATTCTTATGCTTAACCATTAACAATCAAAAATCAAGAAAATTATAATAAATGTATTTGTACTATCCATAAATAACCCTAATGAACACATAGATGGAATCAGAATTTTAAAGCATGATTCAAATGACATACACTAGGACTGTCTCTAGCTTTTATTACCCATCACCAGAAATAGACTAGGTCTAATAATACCATAGACTACAAATAGCACAAACCAAATAGTGGCTAGCTGCTACAAAACTAAAGATGAGTAACAATTAATGAAATGATTTTCTTCCATTGGACAATCTTCTGCTAAGTGAAGGAGTAACTTATGCCTTCACTATGTCAAGAAAATATAATTGAGCTAAGGTCTCACACACACTTAAAAAAAATTCTAGTACTTCTGTAACTCTATATACTTATTCTCAAATATTTTCTTAAATTCTTCAAATGCCTAGCCTCACTAAAAGTCAAAACAATTTTAGAACAAATGATGTATCATGATTATAGATCCCTTAATTGTAACCCATTTTTCCCCTTTGGGTAATACTAACTAGTGTTCAGTCTTTCAACAGAAAGTAAAACAAAGATAATATAAAAAATATTTGCTCTGATTTCCAAAACAGAAGTCACTTAATTCAGAAGAAATAATTTTAAAATATTTGAATAATAAAAAGAATTTACTTTTTCAAAATACCAAATATTTAAGATACTACAAAAATAGGCTAGATAAATGTAAATTTAAAAAAAAAGATCACTTTTTTTCATTAGTATTAACTCCCAAAACTTTTTCTCTAAGATGTACCGAAGTAATGTTACTAAATGAAGGTATGCGGGGCCTACAGTACTTCATGAACCTATATACAAAACTTACCTTGTCAGATGCCTCCGAAGCCAAGAGGTTGGTTGCAAGGGTTTGTAGCTTATGGTGGGCCATATTTTTAAGGGCAGCAAGGCTACGCCTTGTCATGGCTTGTTTGAGATTGACTGCGGGGTGACTCAGTGAATCAACTGCAGCGGGAACTGCTTCATCACAAGCGTTCAGTATCTCCACTGCAGTTATCCCCATCACACAGCGATCCAGGGCACCTGGGAGGCAAGGATATGCACAAATATTATACAGTGCTATAAAATTTTAAATAGTTTTTTAAGTAAACTAGCATAAAATTTTTTATGTTTTATCAGTGCCTCCCGAAAACACCTTCTTGTACAGTACGTCCTTTCTCTAATAATCTTCCATGTAGATTACCTCAATCATTCCTCTCCCTTAAGACCCCTAACACAACTTCTCAATAAAGTCAAATGCAGAGCTAAGATTTCAACAACTTCCTTCAGGCTGTTCCACTCTCTCCGTATTTCCCAGGAGGGTTTCCCTGACTGCTCCCACACCATTACACTATTACAAACATCAAATTTGATGAACTGCTCATCACCGAAGCAATGCGTCAATATTACACAAAAAACCTTACTAAAATATCCTCCTTTTTCTGCCTGAATTATTACTTGAAGCGTCTTTTTATCTAGGAAACCACAAAACAGGAAAATGTTACTATTTCTCTATTCACTTGGCAAATTTCACTTTTTCTTTTTCTTTTGTTCTGTTTTGTTTTCGTTTTTGTCCTGGGTGTTGAACCTAGGGCCTTACGTATGCTGGGTAACCACTGAGCAATATCCCCCAGCCCGCTCTACAAATTTCTTCCTTCTCTAACCACCAAAATATTTACCTTATGTTTGTGAAAATAACTAGTACTTATCACTACCTCACAGCATCTTTCCTTTGCATTTACCTAACGTATGCATTTTTTCTCTAAGGGCACAAATTTCTTCCCCCAGGTAATGTGGACTCCACCATTTCCTTTTAGGCCTTCACTCTGTTACATTTCCAATGAGTCATTCCCTATTTTCATTTGTTTGTTTCTGCCTCAGTTTTTCCCTTTCTGCGCTACCCGCTCCCTAACGCTAACTGCCAGCTAAGATAGCACGTATTTAAAGTGTCTGACTTGCCTCTCCTCACCTAAAGTTGTAAACTATACAAGAACAGCTCACGTCTTGGCTGCTTTGTTCACCGCTGTATGCCTGGAACACTGGGGACAATGTCTGGCACAGAGGTGGGAATCAGTAGCTATTTGCTGAATGAATGGAGACATAGTTAACAGCCTTAAACAGAGAAGTCTAAAAAGTCAACAGAATAATATTTAAAGTACATGAACTAAGAAAGAAATAAAAATGAGGAATAATCATATGAAAAGATATCATATGCTAGAAAATAAGGCAGTGCTCAAAAACAATCAATCAAAGACCATGTCCAGCTTGAAGGGAATCCCACTGACCCTTTTTTTTTTTTCCTCTCCCACTGACCCTTGAAAGGAAACCAGAACATCAAATTAGGAGTTTATGATTATGATCTATTATATTAAGTATTGTCTTGGTTACTTTTTCTAGTACCAGGAACCGAATTCACAACCTTGCACTTGCCAGGCGGGCACTGTGCCTCTGAGCTAAATCCCCATCCCCCAACAATAGCCATGCAAATGCCCCAACGTTTGACTGCCTTGATATTTCTTTTGCCAGATTAATCAGTCTGCTGCTGCCCTTAATCTCAGTCTTAGGCAAAGTCTCTGGACATGAGCAAAATGCAGACAAACTTTCTGCCAAGCCATAACACACATCATCTGGAGTCCAACAACCAATCTAGTCCTTCTTCCCAGCAGAAACCTGAACCTTTTCTTTACCGGCAAGATTTCTATCAGCTTTCTGGTCTTCTGAGCTCTGACTAGAATCTCCCAAACAGAACAGCCGAAGGTGTTTTAGTACTTCTCTTTCACGCGACATCTCCAAAACTTTCCAAACACTCCCCACAAGCCATTTCTAAAGGCTCTTGAACCACATGGTCAGATATAGTCAAAGAAATGACCCCACTCCTCTGGTACCAAATTCTGTTTTGGTTACTTTTCTCTCGTTGCTGGGACAAAATACCTGACGCCCAAAATGAAGGAAGGAAAGGTTTATTTCGCTTACAGTTTGTGGAGGTTTCAGTCCATACTTGGCAGATTACAAGGCAGACTGGCACATGGCAGAAGGCTACAGCTCCTGGTGCAGAACACAGCAAAGCAACAACCACACAGCAGGGCAGAATGGGGGAGGAATGGCCTCCAGCACTCTTTTCCTCTCCCTTACATATGCAAACTATCCACCCCAGGGCGGGTGCAGCTCTCACGCCCATAATCAAACTCTAAAAGCCTGCCCCATGGCTGCATGAGGCTTTGGGGGGCCACACAGACATAAACCATAACAAGTATCAATCCATACTGACAAAATAAATAAAAATTGGAAGAACAGATACAAACATGGTTTCAAAGTCTCTAACCCCCAAAATGATTGCTATTACAAAAGTAAACAATGAACAAATTTCCAGTGAAAAGTCAAGAAAACACTACCTTGAGTGACCTAGCAAACACTCTGATGAAACCATTAAAAATCATGTTATTTGATAGGACGCAATGAGAAAAATGTCTGTGAGTTGTTGACGGATATAATCTGAAAATAATTATAAGAAAACATCACTCAACCTCAAACTGAGTAATAGTTTACAAAAAAAAATGAGCCAGTAATATTTCAAAGTTTTAGACTCTAAAGTAAAAGGAATTATTTTAGATTGAAAAAGTCATAAAACTAAATACTACACACAATTCCAGTCTAGGTCCTTTTGTAGAAAAAAAAGACTTTAGTTAGCAACTAAAGAAATTTGCATCGGCTCTGAAAGTTGTATGGTAGCAATATATCAATGTTAGTTGACTTTGAGAGGAAAAATACACACACACACACACACACACACACACACACACACACACACATACCACAAATGTGATACAAAACAATTGGACATAAAAGAGTAAGCAGCATAAGCCCAAAGAAAATAATAAAAAGGATCAAGAGAAAAAACATTAATTCCCAAGTGAAACTCATTAAAAATAAAAATTTTTTAAAACATGGAAAGAGTACATTCTGCATGAATCTTTAAAGATTTTTAAAATTCAAATAAGCGAAAGAACTTCTGGCTTCAGTCAAGATACAGTAATATGAGGTTGAATTTACCCTTCTTCCTGAAACAACCTTGGAAAAAGAAGACAATATACAAAACAATAGTTTTCTAAACAACAGCCACTAAGCAATTAAGGACAGTGACCCTCAAAAATGGAAAACAAACAAGGTCAGTGCCCTGATAGCTCCACCTCACCACCTGAGAGTGCTCACATCACAGAACACGCAGGAAGCCAGGTAGACCCTAACAGATTCCCAAGTTGGAAAGAAAGAGCTGTCAGTCCAGGGATACCAAGGCAACTAGTGTATGGACCTGCATAGAAATCTCTTCCACATTTGGCAGAATACTGGATAATAATTAGCCCAGAACTAGCACTGTTACAATCTTGCCTAACAAGTTTTAAAGGCAAGGTCCAAAGGATCAAATTCTGCCCCACAAAGCTCAAAAGGACCTACAGGAATACAAAACTATCCAAGAAAATAAAATTAGCAATAGTTCATACCTAATAAAAATTATTAAATATGCAAAATAGGAGAAAAATGTGACCTACAATGACAGCAAGAATCAAATCAATGAAAACCAACTGAGAACTAACAAAATCATTAAAATAGTAAAGAAACAACATTAAAAGTTATTAAAATTGTACCCTGATGTCCAAAATCTTTAAACAGAAAGATAGGATGTATTAAAAAGCCAAAATCAAACTTTCAGAAATTAAAACTGTAATATTTGAGTCAAAAAATGCAGTAGACATGAATCAGGGCAGATCAGACATTGTAGAAGAAGATACAGTATCAGTAAATTTCTAGCAATATGAACTATATAAATTGAAACAAAAAACTTAAATGAAAAGATCAGTGAGCTGTGGAACATCAGATGAATCATAGACATATAACTGAATTCTCCAAAGAAAGAAAAGAAAATGTAGGAGAGAAAATATATTTAAATAAAAATTCAGCCATAAGTTTTCCAAAGCTGATGAACACTATACACCAACATTATCTATGAAGTATAAGGACCCCCAAAAAAATCCCAAGCACAAGCAATATGAAGAAAATTTAGAATCACTGCTCAAACCAATAATAAAAACATTTTAAAGTAGCTAGAGAAAACAGACATGTTACATAAAAAGCCATATAAATATGAAAGCAAATTATCTGGAAACAATGAAAATAAGGAACGAGGAACTGAAAGAAAAAAGCAAAACTGCGGACCTAAGATTCTATATCCACAGAAAATATTCTGTAAATGAAAGTGAAATAAGAAATTTTTTCAGACACGCAAAAGTTGAGAATATTCATTGCCTGTAGGCCAACCAGAAAAATTAAGTATTACACAAAAGGAAGAGATTTTAGATTGAAATCTGCATCTATATAAAGCCATAAAACATAATGGACATGGTAACTACATAGACACATATGTAGAAATGCAGGGATGGATAGACAAACTTCATTCTTATTTTCAAAATTTCTTTAAAATCCAATAGACTTTTTAAACCAGAGGGAATTATGAACTAATATTGTCTTGAGGGCTTTATGAACTAACATTGCTCAGGTTTATTCATTAAAACAGTAGCTTGAACCAAAATGCTTGTTTTTTATTCTCTAAAATTAATTTCCCAACAGAGGACAGGATGAAAGGTGGAAGGGGAAAATATCAAGGGGGAGGAGGGAGAAAATGGAGAAGTGGGTAAAGATATCAAAATGCTCAAGACATGTTAGACGCATACACCAATTCTCTGAAATGAACGTAAGTAGTATTTATTGCAAACATATACTAATATTTTAAAGGAGAAAAAGAAAGCATAGGCAGAGCCAGGCATGACAGGGCATGCCTATAATCCAAGCTGCTTAAGAGGTTGAGGACTTCAGGTTTGAGGCCAGCCTAGGCACCTTAGTAGATTCTATCTTAAAATAAAAGAAATACAAAGGGCTGGGGATACAGCTCAATGGTAGAGCACTTGTCTGGAATGCCAGAGTCCCTGGGTTCATCCTCAGTGACAAACAAAACAAAACAAGAATATATTAAGAGGGTAATTAGTAAAGCAGCCTAAGTATGGGGAGATATGGTCCAAATTACAGTGGTACCCCAGAAAGAAAGAAAACAAAATAAAATGAAAATAAAAGCATAAGAATGTAAGAATAATGTTAAAATTAGTCTTAAGTACAAATAACACAAAAATAAGCTGGGTATCATACCTCATGCCCGTGACCCCAGCACTCGGGAAGCCAAGGCACAAGAAATACCATGAGTTCAAGGCCAGCCTGGGCTACACAGTGAGTTCAAGGCTGGTCTGAACTACATAGTGAGACCCTGTCTCAAAAAAATAAAAAATAAAACAACCACACAAAAAAATAGAATTTACTTGTACAAAAATCTGGTGCTTAAACACATTTTTGGCTATATATGCTTTATTTACATTTTTAAACAGATATATGTCAACCCATAATTTTCTGCTATGTTTGATTAGGTAATTAAACATATGATCTGAATGCATATTTCATTAATTCATTTTAAATATGGGAAAATTAGAAAACTTGGAGCAGCAGAAAATAGATGAAAAGAAAAAAGAAAGTTGAGTTGATAAAACCTTGTACATTCATTTCTAACAATAACTGTCAAGCATTAATGCTATATGAATTTGTGTAAGACTAGTAATTATACCTATAAAATAAGAATATAGTCAGGCATAGTGACACACGCCTATCATCCAGCTACTTGGAAGGCTAAGGGAGGAGCATGGTAAATTACAGGCCAGCCTAGGCAACTTAGCAAGATCCTCTCCCAAAATGGAAAAAAAAAAAGGATGGGGATGTAGATCAGTGCTCCCTGGATTGAACCAGAGGGGTGGGAAAGACAGTTTCATTTGGGTTACATAGCAAAGATAATTTAAAAGGAGCAGATGGATATGTTCTTTGGACTTGGTATGGCTAGATAAGAATATTTTGTAACCTTAGTCTTTCTTAAAGCATGCTACTATTTGCCAGAGAGAAAGGGTTCTGACCTTGTCAAAGGTCTATGGGAATGACAAGCACACTTACTGTGAATATCAAATGTGCAAAATGAGACAGTTGATCCCTGAAGCACATAAATAGCTCCAGGTGGAAACAGCCACCATCTAGGTCGCTGGCTTACCTTTTACAAGTTCATGCATGAGTCAAAGCTGCTAGGTTCATCTAGCCAAATCCAGTTGCCAGTGTCTGTCTAATTAACTAGCTAGTGATGTGAAAGAATAATTTCAACAGCCTGTAGATCACTGTTAAATTGCTAGTGTATCTAATAAGGATGTCACAATAAAAGATTCTGGACTTCTCACTCTCTAATCAAGTTTTATATTACTACTTTCAACTTCATTTCATTGGGAAATGAACACTAAAAACAAAAACTACCCATATGAAGAGGAGAAAAGGCTAAAAGAAAATGACACACAAATGTATAAAGGAAAAGTATTTCAAGCATTTTAAAGCTATAAATAATCAATATAACTCAAACAACAGAAAAGTCCCCAGAATACATGAGCAGATTTAGTGTAGCATGGCTTCATTTGTGAAAATACATTCCCAAAACACTAAGAAGAGGGGCCAATTACCTCAATAGAGTTTAAATACATTTCATACATCAAACCCTAGCTGAATCTGATTTATCTGGGTTCATTTTTTATTTACTTAAAGAATCATATGATATCAAACAATAAAGGCTAATTTTCTGAAGAACACAAAATAAATAAATTTAATAAATAAATAATGTCAATACCTGCAGGATGTACCTCACTGACTCCCCAGGGACCTTTATTCCACTAGCTACCGGCTGTACAGCAATGAAGAAGAACATACCTCCTATCCCGGTTGAAATCTAAAACAAATTCAGCTCCTCTATTTTCACCCTGATTTAAGAATGTCATATTGACTGACTGCCTATCCAAATCCTCCGTAGGCTAGGGGGTAATTGTAGAATTTCAATAATACATATTTTGTTTACTCTAAATTGGGTTTAATTATTCTAAAATGATATAAGAACAACAACCTATAGTATCCCTACAGGTGGGGGATATTTGTCATTTCCTCTTAGAAAATTTATGAGAAAAGTTATTTTGTTTTTCAGGTCTCAACTGTAAAACAAAGAAAAATCCATCTTTCATTCTATACTATTGATAAGTATTTTTAAAGTATATAAAGTAAGTGTGATATATTTTGGTATTTGAAATATTCAAGAAAGTGATACTTTCTTTCTTTATCATATTTAGTTAAGCAAATTTTGGACTAGTTTATCATACTTTTTTCTCTTTATCAGTTTAATATTTATAGTATTTTAACACAGTGTTTTATAAACATCATTATTATAGGAACTTTCTTTAATATAAATTTCTACAAAAATTACTTCTAAATGTAGGTAAAGATATACTGACAAATTCAACAAAGTAACAAGTTAAGAAGCATGTTTAATAATAATTGGAAATACAAACATATGCAGTATATATACACAAAAACTTACAAGTCACAGATGACACATATATACACACACATATTCTGTTTAACATATCAGGGAAATATTACCTCATTTTATTTTCCCTGTAAAGTTATAAAGTAGGAAATAGTATTATCCTATTTATACAGGTGAGGTAACTGAGGGCAAAAGTCATGGAACTTCAGATAGGTTATAGCGCTAGCAACTGCAAAATTCAAACCGAACAGTCTGATTCCAGAGCCAAAGACAAACTGAATATCTGTGAATGGAACCAAACCAGTAAATAAGACTATGATATTTAGTAGTTAGAATATAACATAGAGGGACATTAAGTGAAACACAAAATTACATATTTGGTATGACATTCTGCTTTTTGGGGGTTTTTTGGTTTTGTTCTGTTTTTGTCTTTTTGAGAGGGGGTCTCACTATGCAGTTCAGGCTGGCCTTGAGCTCACTTTGTAGCCCAGGTTGGTCTCAAACTCACAAAGATCCTCCTGCCTCAGCCTCCCAAGTGCTGGGATTACAGGCATGCGCTACCACGCCGGGCTGACATTCTGTTTTTAAAAACATCCAAAGGCAGAGAAGAAACAAATATGCCCAAATGTTAACATTTAACAGTTAGCAATGGGATTTCGGTTTATCTCTTGCCCTAGTACTTTCATGCTTTTAAAATTTGACAAGAAGTATGAATCTCTTTTACAACCAGACAAGAAAAAGAAAAGTTAAATGCAAAGAACTTTGACAGACTTCAAGAATTTTTCCTCTTCCTTCCAAGACTGCCTATATATATCAGTTAAACTGAATGTAAGACTGTTCCAGAGTATGGTTACTTATTCAAAAAAGGCTTAAGAGCGTTCCCTATTTCACAATAGTACAAGCAAAAATACATATATAGTCTGTGAAAAGCACTAAACAACAAAGGTGAAGAAAAGGAAAAAAAAATAGAAATATTATATAATACAATGAGGAATCTAAAGGAAGTTTTTAACTACTAAGACTGACAAGCAACAATAGGTATTATGAAATGAGAAGAAATTGTTCAAAAGGAAAAAGGAACTAGGATGGGTTAAAAAGTAAAGGAAGGAAAGGAAAAGGAAAAAAGTACAAGATACTACCAGTTTCTCTTAGTTCACTGAAAAGAAAGGCTTGTGCCAGTATCATTTGGAGAATTTGTTATCCCCATATCTTGTAGCCTGAGTAACTACTTTAAAGATAACAATATTCAATGTATTAACTATTGTTATTATCCTATTATTGTTATGAAATTTTATTTTATTTGTTTTCCATAAAATTAATTAATGTTTAAAAAATTTTTAAAAAACATTGTACAAGCAGAATCAAATATGCTCCCAAAAAGTCTGATTAACTAGAACATTTAGTGACATACTTAAATATTTCTCAGGGAAAACCATGGTAATCTGTGTATAGATATTATGTGTCATTGCCTGTACTTTTAAGCTAAGCACTATGTGTTCTATACTATAATCCCCATACATAAAATTTCTGAAGCTTGAAGTTTTATATTTTTCTCTAGAACTTGAAACTGTTGTTTCATTTACTACTTACTACCTGCCCAGGATTGCTTTCCTGCTGTTCAAATAAAAGAGTGTTTAATCTTTTTTGCATTGTTTCGGAAAGGGAGACAAAAACAGTTGCGTCATCTTGCTCATAATTTATCTCAGGAATTATACAGAAATTACATTATCTGCCATCTGTCTATTACCTTCAATTATACACCTTTTAAGACTGATGAACTAGGGGCTGGGGATTTAGCTCAGCGGCAAAAGCGCCTCCCTGGCAAGCACAAGGTCGTGAGTTCGGTTCCCGGTACTGGAGAAAAACCAAAAAAAAAACCCACAAAGACTGATGAACTGCTCCACAGTATTTGCCATGGTACAACAAATACAATGGCACTTCAATATCTTTTGATTTAAAATGATGCAAATATTTACAAAAAGACCTGGTTAACATAAAAGTAGCATTTTCTTTTTACATTTCAGAGCTTTTTTCTCGTATAGAAGACTTAAATTTTTAAGAAATCATATATCGTCATTTAACCTTCTGTCCTCTCTTCACATTTATTCTTACCAGTATCCATTTGCCACACATACACAGAGCCATCCGAACATCCCACTACCAGGTAATCATCAGACGGCCGCCACTTGATTATCTGAATAGGGAAAAGGTGACGAGACGCCAACATGATGCATTTTTTCTCTCGCAAACTTAGAAGTCCTACTGAATGGTCACTGGCTACAGAGCAGACGCAGTGCTGTACTCTTGCCTGAAAAGAAGAACAATCCTTCGTTATATTTGTATTAAATTTAGAATAAAAGAGATCCTGTCCTCAACAGCTTAAATAAAAGTTACATATATTCACTGCCACTGAAAAGGAACAAGAATATCAGGTCATGTTGAACAATCGCTTCCTTTATTTATAGATAAAAAACATCTAGCTCACAGGGAGACACCATTTAAAACATTCAAAATTAATCCTAGATTAAAGACTGGGAAGAATGTCTTGGAAAACCTCCTGTTCAAATTCCAAGATGATATTACGAAAATGATTGGTGTACATGAGCAGGCAAAGCTAGAAAAAAATTGATCTGTTTTTATGTGTCCTCTTTCCATAGTATGAGCTATGCTTTGCTGCAAGAGCTGCTTTCTGCAGCGCTTCTGCTTGTGCGTCTGTTATTTAGAACCACGCTCCTCCCTGCATCTTTGCTCAAAAACAATACCCTCACAGTCGCTCCCCCACTATTGTTCCTTGGGAGTCACACAGACCTCTCATTAATGGTAGATTCGCCATGCCTGCTTGCTTCACGGCCTCAGTCTATAATGCCAGCACGTGTACCACAACTATCCACACCATAGCCAATTAAACACTGCTGTGTATTTTTTGCTCATCTCTAGTTTTTGCCTTCCAGTTCCCTTTTAGAACAAGATGAGATACAAGTATTTTCACTAGCAACCAACAAATGAATCTATACTACAGAAAATTTAAAATCTGCCTTTAAATTTCTGTATGACAATTTATAAGCAATCTGAAACTTAACTTTGTAGTGACACAGATTATGCTTTCAGGTAATGCTGAGGGGAACAATATGAAAACAGCTGTCATCAAACTGATTATTGCATATACTTTGCTTATTTCTAGAGGATGGGGCCCATGGCAGTAGGTACTATATACACATATGCTCCCTTCTAAGGAACTTAAAAAAGAAACCTGTCAAATCTCACCTTCCTGGACTTCTCTTAATCAAAAAGACTAGTTTTAGACAAAGATCAGTATCTCACTGATTCCCCAAATGGGAAACGCTCACAGGTATTAGGTGAAGGAGTGAGGGTAATCAAACATGCATGCAAAACACGGACACTATGTAGCTGCTGTTGACATTGAATTTAATCATACAACCTCCAAGAACTCTTAGAACGTTGACATGCACACAATTATTTCTATAAGAAAACACATCACTAATCTCTAAATTTGTTTGACCATGACAATCTTATTAGATGTAGTTTTAAAGTCATAGACTTTGGGGGAAGCTAATATAACTCGCCCCCTCCCCCTTTCTTTTAGTTTTTTTGAGACAGGGTCTCACTTTGTAGTCCAGGCTGGCCTCGAACTCGCAGCAATCCTCTTGCCTCAGCCTCCCAAGTGCTGGGATTAAAGGTGTGTGTCACCAAGCTGGGCTATAACTAGTTCCTTCTATATTGTGACTGCTAAGAAACAGTGGGCTAAATTTTCCCTCTGTAGCAGTGCAGGATCTTGGGCTGAATATGAATTCTGGGTGGCCTCTCTTGCTCCTCTCGTTTTCTCTACACCATGATTACACTGTACCTCTGTTACCAAATGCTCATTTTTGTAAACAACCTAAAATCAATTTCTTAATAAAACAGGGCATTCAGTGCTTTCCATTTATTCCTTGTTAGCTTTATTTGTATTTTTTGTTTTATAATAATTTAAGCAGTATACTAATTTTAAAAGCTAAGAAAACTAAATTCAGAAAGGTATCATTAAAACATTACATACAATTTTTTAAGCATTTGTTAAATTTCATTTACCTTGATAAACACTCAATGAAAACATGAAATGTGATATCCTTCTTAAAAAGACATTAATGATTAAGGAGCAGCTGACTTGTGGCACACAAAAATTAGTTTTATGACTAACAAATCAAAATAAAGTGGCACACTGTAAAAATTATTTAGCTTTAGATATTGGAAAATAAAACTGAGCAAATACACTACATGCACATGCTTCCACACATCCCATAATGCCTTACTTTCAATTATTTCACAATACAAGAAATATTTATTAGTTGCTAAAGACACATGTTGCTAAATCTGGACAGAAGTCAGTTTAATACAGTGGATGTTTTGCATTTCCACAGGTTATTATTAACCTTGGGTCTGTCAAATATATCTTTTATTCATTTTATAAAAAGGGGTAATTGCTACAATGAGGGTTAAGTACTATTTTCTATTTTGGGACCTTAATTCACCAAAAGAGTTCATTTTATTTTACTTCTCTAATCAAAGAAACCATGACCTTTTCCTCTGAGTATGATTCCTAAACAGTATTTCTTTGCATCTGTTCACATTCTTTTATCAGGCCACAGCCTTCACATTCATTGCTACTCCTGATTCTACTGCTTTGACTCATGAACTCTGCAAAATCTTTAAAACAAGCTAATCCATAAATAGAGCCTCACTAAGCCTTAACTGGCCTACTTGTGAGCCTGCAAGTCCAAATTCATTCCATTAATGTTCACATACACTCTAGTCATCCCTCTGTAAAAAGCAGAGAAACAAAGCATGAGTCAAGATGAAGTTTTACCAATATTCTTTACTATGTTAGGTGTTTCTAAAACTGTGATCAATTGCAGATCTCAATATCTGGGGTGATATGATAAAACTACTGACAACTACTGAGCTATACACACTTTTTCTGGCAAATACCTTCTGGCCATAGTTTATAATCTAGCAGAGAGAGGACTAGAGCTAATAAGCAAACAAATAAGGCTTTCTCACTCCTCTGAGGAACTTAACTTTTGGCATTACCAACCCCTGGTGAGGAGTTTCTGAGCCAGAACTTCCACCTTCCACACAGAAATGCAGGTGACTCACTTCAAAGATTAAAGAAAATGCAAGCTATCTTCAGTCAGATATAAAAGCTCTACATCATATAACTCATATGGTAAAACTAAAGGACATAGCAAATGAATAATAAATAACAGTATAAGACCAGCTTTTAAAAGATTATGGGATTTAATATTCTAAAGGATAAAAAAGAGCTAGTACTCCAAAAATTCTCGCTCTTCGCTTCTACAAGATACAATCTCTTAACATATATATTTACCTAAATATGTGTTAAATAATTTTATTACTCTTTCACAGTGCAATGGTGATGATCTTGGTAACTGACATGCTTCCACAAAGTTCAGTCATCTATAAAAATTATATACCATCTCTGTAATGATAATAAGTATCTGAAGAGTTAACTTTAGCTTTACTGTAATAATAGTCTTGAAATAGCCAAAATAATCAAGAATGAAAACAAAAAAAATCAATATTACTAAGCCCAAGAAAGCATAGTTATTAGAGGTACTTAACTCACAAGAAAAGATGGCTCTCTGCTTTTTAAATATGGATTAAAATAAATCTAATTTTTCTTCTTTCAAGAAAAGGCTAGTCGAACTCATAAAGAAAACTGGCCTAGAGTGGAAATGGCCCAATATGGGTAAAATCTCATTAATTTTTATTCCACTAATTAATTCTGAGTTGATGGTTACCTTTGCAGCCTGTGTGAAAACACATTAATGGTATAAACAAAGCAAATGTCTAGCCTATTTAAATGTAAAAGGAAAAAAGACCATTCAAGCACTACTTCAGTATTAATTTTAATTCAAACAAAGAATAGATTAGTGATAAATAATTCTCAGTTGTGTTATATGAAAGCACTTAAAAGATTTGCTAAAATACAATTAACTTCACTTTCTCTTATCTGTCCTCAAAATTATTAAAAAAGCACTTCTTAAAGAATATTTCAGAGCTCATATTTCTTCCTGATGTAGATCCAGTTTTCCCACAAATGAGTTAAATGAGCACAATTCCTTTATTACTAAGAGACCTAAGTTATTGAACATCAATTAATTCCATAATGTGACTAATACCATTCCACCTCACTTTATTTCACTTCAACCTGGACCGCAACCTCAAAATGACTTAACACCAAGGTCATTAAAACAAGATAATGTATTAAACATTTAATGGATATAAGTAAAATGACAATAAAACTAAAAACCATGAACCTCATATCATCAACTAAGCTTATCTGAAAAGCATTTATACCCAAAACTTTCTCGACCACACACTTATTCATTAAAAAAAATAGAATGTAGACCATACAAAGGAAGACTCAAAACTTAAATAAACAAATTTAAGATGAAACGAATTTTTTTCTTAAATATCTCAGTAACTTCATGTTAGTTTAGTTGGTACAAGGCATAATATACATTCTTAGCAAGTTTCACTGCTAATTATAGTGAATGTAAATACATATTTTACATAATTGGGAATTATTTTTAACTGCATTCTTCTCAGATTGACCAAATGATCTTTGTTTAAAAGTCAATGTAGCTGATAAACAGATATTTATATTTCATTAAAAATACTTTCCATCTACCAGGCATGGTGGCACACATCTGTAATCCCAGCACTCAAGGCAGGAGGGTTGCCACAAATTCAAGATCAGCCTGGGCTACACAGCGAGTTCAAGGCCTGCATGAACTACATGGCAAGACTCTGTCTCAACAGAAAAAAAAAAGAAAGAAAAACTACTCTCCATCAATCTTTTTTCTGCTAAGAATTATATGGCACAATTTGCAAATCTCCTAAGCAAACATTTTAACTGAAAGCATATCATGTGAAAACAGCACTGGCCCTCTCGGTATGCCATTCACTCTTGCCCTAAACAGTGTGCACCTATCTTTTCTTTTGTTTTGCTTTTGTTTTCTGAGACAGGCTCTGTAGGCCAGGCTGGCCTCAAACTTACAGGGATTCTCCTGCCTCAGCCTCCAAGTGCTGGGACTACAGGCGTGCGCCATCAAGCCAGCTTTGTTTTCTGCTTTTTTGTTTTTGATATATGTGCCCATCTGATGTGTAAGACAAGTGAGAGTACAAGCATCCATCCATCTAATAAATGTTCAGAAAGGTCCATTCCTTACGACTGAAAATAACCAGTAAATAAAAGTTCTGGTAATTTCTTCCCAGACCCCAATT